GGCTTCAATAGTACAATAAAGTAACAATGTTTTCAGAGAATTATTTTTAGGTGAAAAAATTTAAATTGTCAGAGTAAGAAATATACTGTGTATAAACATACTCCTGAAAAGCCTGAACTCAAGCTGTGACAAGGGAATCTACAACTGAAACAAATAAAATTTGGGAAAAGTATTCTGTAATCTGCAAATAATTTTAGAAGCAGATATTTCTGCATCAGAATGTTATAAACTAAAACACCCTCAAAACTTTTATTAACAGCATTTATTGTAATAGTGTAGCTTTCCGTGACACATTAATTTTTGGCTTATTTCCTTTTTCTTTCTCAAATTCAGCTAATGAAATATATTGAGTAAATTTTGAGGTAAATTTTTAAACTCTGCTTTCTGAACTGCTCTTTGCTATTTAGTCCATCTTCTTCTGTTTTGTTATCTTCTATTTTGTTATCTTCTCTGTTTTGTTATCTTGCCCCAAATTGCCCTCTGTTTCACATTCTCCTTGATCTTGTATTTACCTGATACCTTTACTCATGTCTACTGAAATCATGTGATCCAGAATAAGTATGTTTGTGTGGGGGAGGGGCGGTTCAACTGAACTTTCTGGTGGAGCGGAATACCTCATAGAACTCGGTATACCTTCTATGGTACTCTTTTCTTCCCTCTATGTCCTTTTAAAATCTCCTATAACTATACATTTTATCTTGCCTACAAAAGGAATCTGAGGTATTTCTTCTACTGGAAAAATGTCTTATTTATATGGCTTTTCTATGTCACTACTACCTGCCTGGGTTTTATAGCTATTGTAAAAATCTCTTGGATCTTCAGTCCTGCTCCAAAATTTTCAGGTATATCAACTGAAGATGAAAAAAGAGGGCTTGTGTCTTTCTCTTTTACCTGTGTCTTTTGACAATATAACCATCCTGCTTTTCCAGCAGATTTCTGCTTCTTGTTTTTGGTTAAGAAAAAACACTGAAGTATTAATTGGAGTTGGTTAGCTCTCATCTTTCCTATTCTGATCAATCTGACCTGAGGATGCCTTAGATGAATGCCTTTTGGAACTGCCAGAAGACTCTGAAAGGTTCCTCTTTTGTTTCTTATGCCTTTTGTGACCTCAAGAGGAAGAGGATGAGGAATAAACAGATAAGCAGAAGAAACACTGAAGAGGAAGAAGATAACTTTCTTCTTTTCTTCTTTTACTTTTTTCTCTTCTTTTAAGAGCACTTGTTTCTGTTTTCTTTGTTTTCTGCTTTTCTTCCTATTCAACTTTTTCTCTACATATATTTATGAAGTTTCTACAAAGCGTCCTCTGTATCTTTAAAATCTCATCCAAAGCCAAAACTTTCTTATAGTAACTTTCAGAATTTAAAAAGTTTTCTTCTTCTAACTGCCCTCCTCCTTCTACAAGTAGTTGGCAGAGGTATTTTCTTGCATTGCTGTGAGTTGGGCAGTTGTCTAATGCAAGCTTAAAATCTTCTGGACTTTTTTAGATTTCCTTTTGTCATGTATAATGTTCCTTGAGCTAGCAAACCTTCCACATTTTGCTTATCTATTTCCGGAGCTTTATTGTATCCATTCATAGCATCCACATGGCATTAAACCTTAAGATAGTTAACTCCAGTATTCACACATATTAAAGCCTAAATGCAGACAAATTTTTTCTTAATGCAGGAGCAAAATCATCTTCAGAGAAATTTTTGCTTTATAGACTTCTCATTAAAGATGGTGTATTAGATTCATCTATTCCTGGTTTTCCCAGAAGGAATTCAACTAATTCTGGATTAACAAATCCCAGGGATCTCTGTATAATATTTTCATAGGAATCTAGAGAATTACTATTTAGTTCAACACTCCTCCTATATTACAAAGGAAGTTCTTCAGAAGTAATTACACCTAGTTTAATAACCAGATAGGTGTGGCGAAAGAGATGAGCTATAAAGAGACACTGCTAGTTTTTCATGAAATCTGCCAAAATCCTTGATTCCATTTTGAATAATGTCACCAGTTTGGTAATATGATAAAGGATCCCCATGGTGACTGTGAAAAGGCATATCTCTTAATGGAAAAATAACTGTGATTTCTAAGTGGGATATGTCTCTTGTGATGCCACTTCCTAAACAGATTAATACAATGAAAAAACAAAATTCCCAAAGTAGAATTAATTCTTTCAATCACTATATCACCATTTTCAATATCTTGGAAAAACAGCTCATTCCCCTCCACATTAAATATTCCCATGACTTGCTTTAAAGGTGGGATGACTGCATAATGATCTACATTGTCTTCATTAACTTTAGAAGTTGTAGGTACATCTGATTTCTAGGAAAGTGCAAAAAGTTAATCTGCTTTTTTGGAGATGAATTTTTGTATCTCAATATTGTTAATTAACTCTATTCTCTTTTCTGCCATGTAAATGCTACTTGGACAGCAGCCTCCAGCAGGCTCTGATACCCAGCATAGAAGGCTCTAGAAGTACTGATTGTCCTGCTATTCATTCTGGTGTAGCAAGGACAGCAATGACCACAGGTGGTAATTTAGCAACTGCCCCAAATGGTCCCCATCCATGACTAGAGATTGTGGCCTACTAGAACTTGATTCCGTGTCCACCACTTGAATCAGTGGTCAAGAAGGTTGAGGCACCAGCCTGGAAGCTGCCCCAAATGAACAGCACTTACATAGATGCTTCCTGTAGGATAAATATTTTTATTTTAAAATGTTAATATTTTAAAATGTGCTGGAAGAAACAAAATAAAATAAAATGTGCTGGAAGTTCCATCTTTAGCAACTCCTTACATTTAGAATTTTAAAATTTAGGTGTCAACTTAAAATGTATGAAGTTATATATGGCTTTTCAGATTATTTTGGGATGTTTGCGGGAAGAAAGCTCAAAACCTATTAGGCTATTCTTAAGGCCTGATTTGTTCTCATTTCTTTCTTGAATATTTCCTTATCTCCATATCTAGATTATGAGTTCTTTTTGTGTCAGAATTATTTCCAGGTGCTTGTATTTTGCCCAAGATTCAGGAAGAGGAAAAGGTAAATAAAGGAAGCAACCCCAAACAAGTCAGGAGTTGACTTAAACAAAATTCATACCCTGGCAGTTCAAGCTCAAGGATTTTATGAGCATTGTAGATATTACTCAGTTCTGTTCTTTGGTCTGAAAGGTTTCCCCATCCCAAAATATAAATCCTTCTTACCCCCTGCCTTCCACTGATGCATGGAATCCCTTCAAATGGTGACACAAATTTTCAGACTGCATCTATTCAAAATGCATATATCCTTAGAAGAAGTAACATTGACCTAAAATCAAATTAAATTATATTGTTTCCTAAGAGCAAGTTTTTGTAAAAAAAAAAAAAAGTATGAGAAGAACCAAGAGGTTACTTGTCTGGGGTTTACATGTTAGCTTCTTAAGTTTACTGCAAACCACACCAAACATCTCTTCTTTACTGAAATGATCCTGAAGGATGATTAGGCAGAACTTTTTGATTCTGAAATGATCAACCATATCAAAGTCCTCATTTCTGGGAAAACATGATTCTTAAGTAGAGAAGCTCTGTGGTGGACTGAGAAATGAAGGTAATGTCTAAGGGTAACCCTGCTAATCCTCCAGTTTGCAGATTACACAAATTAAAACTCAGCAGTCACAACTGGACCTTCCATTGGGTAAATGAATGAATTAAACACTTCCTTTCCTATGGTTGGAGCTAAAGAGACCACCATGTTAAGTGAAGTAAGCCAGACTCCGAAAGTCAAGGGATATATGTTTTCCCTCATATGTGGAAGCTAGAGAGAAAAAAAGAAAAAAAAGAATCTTATAAAAATAGAAGGATGATCAGTAGGGTAAAGGAAAGAAAACAGGAGGAGGAATGAGGGCAAGGGAAGGTACAGGGTGGATTAAATTTACCAAATTATGTTACATGCACATACAAATATACCACAATGAAACCCACCATTTTTAGGGAAGAGAGGTGGGAGGGAAAAAGAGGGAGAAGGGGAGTTGCACGGAAGATGGAAGGAGAACCTCATCGTTATACAGAATACATGTATAAGGTTGTGATGAGAAAAAGAAAAAAAAAGTGTCTCACATTAGATTGGATAGAGAGAAATGATGGGGGGGAAGGAGTAGGGGGGATAGGAAGGGCAGCAGAATAGAATAGACATTATGATTGCTATATATATATATAGGTGACTCTATGACCAGTGTGATTCTGCAATCTGTACAGTTAGAAAAATGAGAAATTATACCCCAATGATTCAAATGTATGAATTGCCAAGATCATTGTAATGTCATGTGTAGCTAATAAAAAAAAAAGAAACCCACCATTTGTATAATTATTGTGTACCAATAAAAATTTTTTAAAGTTAATACAAAAATCAATGGTCTTTTCAATTATTTGAATCCTTGCTAGAAGCAGAACCACAAATCTAAAATCTAAATTTTAATCTTTTGAATATGTTCCTTAATTTACAGATTAATAAATCAGAATTATTTTCTAGATGATATAAAATAGTAGATTGAAAGCAGTGGAACGGTACAACACAAGGACTGAATGAATGCACTCTAATGTAAACTATGGACTTGAGTTAATAATATTGTATCAATATTGCCCCATCAAATATAACAACTATGCCATACTGATGTAAAAATATTATTAACAGAGGAGAAAATGAGCTGGAAGAAAGGGAGTATGTGGAAACTCTCAATTCTATAAACTTAAAACTGTTCTGAAAAATAAAGGTTATTTATTTAAATAAATATATAACTCTCTCTTTCCTATATCTGATAAATCTACACAAAACCTTTGTGGCTAAAAGTTTTCCTTCATTTGGCACAGGTAAGATTTTAGTGCATAGTAGGCATTCAGTACCTATTAGTCAGATGAACAGATTTTTCAGGAAAGAAACTACTGAGGAGTAATTGATAAGGAAGTTAGACTGCCAATTAATCTGAAACTTGGGTCACTGAAAATTTGTGTCTTTTATTGATTTTTTTTTTCCTGAAGCAAGTAAAAGGGAACTTTGTTAGGTTGAAGGCTTGCATCTCAGAGCTTCGCATGATAGAGACAGAAGGTTGTTTCCGACCACAAAGCACTTCTCTACAGCTGGCAATACAGGATGGACTCCAGCAATTCAAACAATACAGCAGATATGTGACCACAGGTGCTGCTCTGCCCTACACTTCCCTGGAGGTAAGAGATGCTGGCCTTTAAGACTCAAAGCCATCCTCCCATTTTGGTCTAGATAGGTGTTTCATTATTTATAATCCTTAATCCTTGTATTGTTCTCTGTTTCATATACATTGAATGTAATTTTTCCTTTTTTTTATGTACTAGGAGCACTTAACTACTGAGTCACACCCCTAGCCCGTTTTTAAATTTTTTTTTTTTTTTTGAGACAGGTTCTTGCTAAGTTGCTTAAGGCCTTGCTAAGTTTCTGAGGCTGGCTTTGAACTTACGATCCTCCTGCCTCAGTTTCCCAAGCCACTGGGATTGGAAGTATGGGTCACTACATCCAGTGAATATAATTTTCAAGGCTAGATTTTCAGCTCCCTGCAAACAGAAGACATATATCATATATGATTTTTAATATGCAGATTGTCAAAAATTGAAGATCAAAAATAGGAACTAAAGTGAATTAAGGAAAAACTGAATCAAAATAAAATCTGAATATTCCATATGCCTCAGATTTTTGAAACTTCCAAATATTAAGCTTCCTAGATTGATATATATAATTACCTGAGTACCCTTAGGAACTGAAATAGGTCTTAATCAAATCTTGTCATCAAATGAAGTAAAGTTTCTTGAGATAAGCAATTATGCAAATGTAAAACATCTACTATTCTGGTGCCAGATTGAAATAATCTTAAAAATATAAATAAGTCATGGCTGAATATTCCATGGATATATAAGGGAGATGAATTAAACACTTTCAGCCTTTGGTAACCTCGGACAGCAAACAGATGCATTAAAAAATAATTGCAGAGACTTCTGGTTTCCAGTTTTACATGTAAGGAACTTGGAAGTCACCACTTCATCCTAACAACTAGCAAAATGTTAAACAAACTCAAAGGTTAACAACTTTATTTGGATCCCTAAGAGAAGTTAAGATCACAAAGCAAACAAACTACTGCCTCCAAAATTAGACACAGACAGATACAGAAAATCACAACACACTAGATGAGAAATCTCCACTGGAACCAGAGCTGGAGTAGGAAAACTTGAACTTTAATTGACGAATTGCTGGAGGATAAATATGGACAAGTCTGAAAGTTAAAAACTCCCAAGACACCCTGTCATGAGAGCTGGCCCACAATTTTGTGAGTTTTGCCTTCAGAAGTACAACCAGACTCTCATAGTAAATATCAGGGGGAAATTCCCTCATACCTCAGACTGGAGAGGAAGAGTGTTCTGTTCTTTTTAACAAGTTGTGCCCTCAGGAGAAACAAGTTCAATAGAACCCAACCTGCTGGGATTTTATCAGAGCTTAACTGATAGGGAGGACAAGAAATACCAAACTCTTTTTTTTTTTTTGGAAAACAGTTTGATGGCTCCTTACAAAACTAAACACACTCTTGGATTGTCAGCCAACAATTGTGCTTCTTGATATTTACCCAAAGGAGTTAAAAATATGTGTCCACACAAAACTCTGCACATGGGTGTTTATAATAGCTTCATTTGTAACTGCCAAACTTGGAAGCAATCAAATGTCCAGCAGTAGATGAATGTTTAATAAAACTGTTGTTCATCCAGACAATGAGATATTATTCACTGCTAAAAACCAATGAGCTATCAAGCCAAAACAGACATGATAGAACCTTAAATACATATTACTAAGTGAAAGAAGCCAATCTGAAAAGGCTATATAATTTATTATTCCAACTATATGTCATTCTGGGAAAGGCAAAATTATTGAAATAGTAAAAGGTTGGTAGTTGGCAAGGGCCATGGGGAGGGAGGAATGAATAAGTGGAGCATAGAAGATTTTAAGAGCAATGAAAATACCTGCATGACATTATGTTGATGGGTGCATATAGTTGTACATTTGTCAAATCCATAGAATGTACCACACAAAAAGTGAGCCCCAAGGTAAACTATGGACTTGGATGATTATGATGATTATGATGTATCTATGTAGGTTTATCAATTGCAACAAATACACACTCTGGTGGAGGATATTGATCATGGATATTGCATGTTTGAGGGCAGAGGGTATTTAGGATATCACTTGCTATCTCAATTTTGCTCTGAACCTAAAACTTATCTAAAATAATAAAGTTTTTGAAAATAATAATTATTGTGGATTTCATAGGCATCCTACTTCATCAATCAGAAACATCTAAATATGGGCTGGGGATGTGGCTCAAGCAGTAAAGCGCTCGCCTGGCATGCGTGAGGCACTTGATTCGATCCTCAGCACCACATAAAAATAAAATAAAGATGTTGTGTCCACCGAAAACTGAAAAATAAATATTAAAAAATTCTCTCTCAAAAAAAACATCTAAATATTTTTAAAAATGCATATATTTAACAATTGCCGGGCACAGTGGCACACACCTGTAATCCCAGCAGCTCGAGAGGCTGAGGCAGGAGGATCAAGAGCTCAAAGCCAGCCTCAGCAAAAGTGAGGCACTAAGCAACTCAGTGAGACTCTGTCTCTAAATAAAATACAAAATAGGGCTGGGGATGTGGCTCAGTGGTCGAGTGTCCCTGAGTTCAATCCCTGATACTATATAATTTTATGTAGGAATTTGTGTTTGGCAAGTGAAATTTAATGGAACAATAGAATTTAATGGAACATTTATATATATATACATACTTTTTTTAAACAATTGCCTTCAAGTTTCAAAATCCAAGACAAAACTTATGAGAAAAACATACAGTGTGTTCATTTAGATGGAATAAAATATTATACACAAACACCTCAATATTCCTTTAGGTCCCATATATTGGTCAAAGATTAGCACATTTTAGAGTAAAAAAAAGCAACAGAAATACCTTAACTGGATCCAAGATAAACAAGGGAAGAATCAGTCTAAGAATGCTGTAAGGAAGCACTATAGAAAGAAGGAACAACAGGCTTCCTAATATTTAATGCACACTAGTGAGTGAAACTTAAGGGTCTTATTTCCTTTGTTTTTATGTAAAAATTAAAGCATTTTGAATAAATGAGATGATACCAGTGCTTCCAGCAATCTTAAAAGATTAAAACACAGGTGTTGCTTTTAACTGGTCACTTTGTAGGCTCAGCCTGATTGGAAGGTTCTGATTACCTATTCTACCACAATCTGCCAAATGAAATTGGTCTGTATCACTTCGTGGCCTTTTGGCTAAGATTAAGTGAAATTTTATTTGTAAGTTACAGTTAAATCATCCTCTTTACACTAAACATAATAGCCATTACCATAGACTTCTGCTGTGATATTCCTCACTCTGGACCTCTGGGAAAATAAACATGTTGATTCTTGGATTTTATTTTCAGATTACTGTCCTGACTTCCCACCCTGGAAAAGAAGTGGTCAAACAACTGGAGGAAGGGTTGAAAGATATAGATCTGGTCAGGGTCAGAAGGCTTCAAGTTGTTGAAATCACAAAGAGAATCCTGGAGCTCATGGACTCAGCATCTCCTGTTGAAGAGCCCAGCAATGATGGTAAGGGGGATTTTTTGGTTTTTGTTTTTGTTCCAAGATGGCATCTCATTATGTTATCCAGGTTAACCTCAAATTCACAATCCTCCTTGCTGAAAGAATTTTTTTTTGAAGTTAAAAGAATGATAATATCTGTAATGAGTAGTTTTTATGGGTCAATAAAATTGTTTTCCATGATCTTCTTATGTTCTTAAGTGATAAATTAACCAGCAGATTCCAGTGCAGTTCAGATGATTTAGGTGTTAAATTTTGTAATAGTTATTTTATTTCAGAAATAATAGTTAAATTTTGTAATAGTTATTTTATTTCAGAAATAATAGTTAAAGCTGAAATATTATAAGTCTAAAAAATAAAACTTACTTCATCCCCCTAATCACTTTTAAGATATTGTGGAATCCTTACAAATGTTCCTTTCTATATACATACACACACTTATCCATACATACTTAATATTTTAATGGGATCATGATATACCTAATATTCTATAAATTCTTTATGTATGTTAGATAGCTATCAGTATTATAACTCTATCTCATTTTGAGACTTCTTGATTTATTATTGTGTGGCTGTACCATAGTTTGTTTAATGACATTAATTTTGCTGTTATAATTAATGCTGCATGAACAGATTTACATGTAAGGATGGCTGCATAAGCTAATGACCAATGCAGTCACACAGACTCCTGTATGCAGAAAGGCCCCATGCTTGGGGTTTAATGCTTTTTGGCTGCTGTCTTGAAATTCTTAGTAATTTTATGTAGGAATTTGTGTTTGGCAAGTGAAATTTAATGGAACAATGGAGCATATGTCAGGCCTGGGAGCATTGACTCACATATGCCCTGCCTCCTTCCCACCTCCTCAGAATGGGTTCTCATTTGCCATCTCACCAGCCTCAGAGACTCTGCCCTTCCTACCCCTGTCCAACAACCACTGTTAGCCTCTGTTCCCCTGCTAGACCAAGTCCTGGACAATTCAATCAGGGTGAAGCAAAAATGCCTTTTGTGCTGAGTTGCAAGACCAGGGCCCAGGCACCTGTGAGAGTCTATACTTCTGGATAAGTATCCTGGACCTGAATGTGTCAGTCAGCTTGTTGTCACTACGACCAAAATACTTGACAAGAACAACTTAGAGGAGGAGAAGTTTATTCTGGCTCATAGTTTCAGAGGTTTAGTTCATGTTCAGCCAAGTCCATTGCTCTGGGCCCAAGGTAAGGCAGAACATCATGGCAGAAGAGTATGACAGAAGAGTCACCTCCTGGTGGCCAGGAAGCAGGGCAGGAAGAGGGATTGGGCTGGGGAAAATGAACCCTCCAGAGCATGCCCCCAATGACCCACTTCCTCCAGTGCCTCACCTGCCTACAGTTACCACCCAGTTACTCCATTCACACTAAGATGGACTGATTAGGTTACAAATCTCATGATCTAATCATTGCACCTCTGCTATAACTTGAGTGATAGATGAATCTAAACTGGTTAAAAAAGAAACTCTTAAACTTCATAATTTGGTAATTCCACTTGACTTACTAAAATGATTTCATAAGGGGCTAGGAATATTGCTCAGTTGGTAGAGTGCTTGCTTCTCATGCAAAAGGCCCTGGGTTCAATTTCCATCACCACACACACACAAAAATCATTTCATAAATTTCCTTTGCCTTAGAATTAAATCCAGCAAGGCATTAATGGTCTTTCCTCACCTAATCCTTGGCCTCGATTTACAGCTTTTCTCCCACCTCTGTCTGACAAGTCCTGGTAATGGGAAACCATGAGTTCATCTCTGAAAGTTAATTATATCTTACTTTCTCACATCTCTGAGTCTCCTTTCCCAGTGGCCCTTTCCTCCTCCTCTGCTTGGCTAATTCCCACTTGTCCTCTAAGACTCAGTTTGAATAAAATTTCTTCCAGGAAATGTAGGATTATAGATGATTTAGATGTACTTATTTATACTTATCTGCATTTTCCCCTCCAAAGTAATCCTGGGAGAAATTCAAGAATAACAGTATAATGTTAAAATCAAATGATTTCCTTTTGCCCATTAGACTAGCAAAGATAAAAAATAAACAAGAAAAATGTCTGGTCGGGAGTCTCATTTACTATTGATGGAAGTGTAAATTGATATGATTTTTTTGGAGAGTCATTTGGCAGTAACCATATATATATGTGTGTGTATATATATACACACACATACACCTATATGTTTGGCAATAACTATATATAAACATAAATATGTATATGTATATATCTAAATATAAATATATATATATATATAAGTATATATACACACAAAGTTTTACCTCCTAATAACATTTCTAGGAATTTATCCTACAGATAATGTTTGTATACTCAAAGAGTTATATACTCAAAGAGAAGGTGACATAATTTGTGAGTCCAGAGCAAAGCCAACATGCAGAGCCCCTTCTTTCAAAAAATAGATAAAAGACCATTGAACCAAATGTGGTGGCACAGGCCTGTAATCCCAGGGGCTTGGAAGGCTGTGGAGCCAGCCTCAACAATTATCGAGGCCCTAAGAAACTTAGCAAGACCCTGTTTCAAAAAAATGACTGAGGATGTGGCTCAGTGTTTAAGTGCCCCGGGTTCTATCCCTGGTACAAAACAAATAAACACAACCCATTTTAAAAAACCATTTTTATATGTACTAACATATAAAAAATTTTCTCCCATGGACTCTTTGTGGAGTAATATGGTGGGTCTCCTGTTGTGTGTGAGTGTGTGTGTGTGTGTGTGTGTGTGTGACTGTGTTGTGTGTGTGTGTGTTTAATTGTGATAAGAACACTTTACATGTGATCTACTCTTGTAAAAAGTTTTAAGTATAGAGTATTGTAAACTATAGGCATAATAATGTTGTATAGTAGTTCTCTAGAAGTTAATTGTTTATTTATCATGTTCTGGTGTTTTTTTTCTTTTAAATTTGCTAGTAATATAACATTCCCTCAATGTTATTGTGTGGATATGAGATGTTCCCCAAAAGCTTACCCTCCTACAATCCTTTCTGGCTAAATGGCCCCTTCCAAGGTTGTGACACATGGAAGTGCCTGTTCTTTTGATACTATTATTGATCTCTTCCTTGTCCCACAAGAATAACTTCACTCTTTCTCCCCCCTCACTTGTTCCCTCCTTAATTAATTAGGAAGTTGGTAACTAAGGGTGTGGTTTCTCTGTCAAATTTTGACATATATGGATGTTTATTGCAACATGAGGCCTCTGACATTGTTTTGGAGGGTAACCAACCTTAGCCATGTGGTTTGTGAGCTCTCACCTATTATGCATACTCTGCTTTCCCAAGCTAGACTCCTCATTAACTATCCTTCTTTGTGTTCCCATACCTCTACTCCTAGTAGTCTTTTCTCTGAATTCCTTCCCCTGTCCTCTTCTAGCCAAATCCTCCCACTTAAATCCTAATTCAGTTTCATTACTACCGTATTAATTTTCCTCTCCTTAGAATAACTATTATCACTTGTGGTCTGTACCACACAATTCAGCACTTAATTATATACCATCCATAATTGTCTACCATTGCTTTTTTGTGTGTGTGATAATTTTGTCTGTTCACCTGACTTGTGAACTACTTGCTATCTTTTCAATCTGCATTAAAGTGTAAGAACCTTGGAATTAGAAACTTGTTTTACCAATTTCTGTGTCACAGTGTAGAGGATATTCTAGATTATCAGAAAGTATTTTTTAATTAATTGATTACAGTTATATGTGTGGGGCTATTTGGCTCAGCATCCCCCACATCCCCTTACCTTGGTAACACTTCCATCTTCCTAGTTAGAGTGGACCATGACTCAGACTGAAGCAATCATAGTTCTCCAGGACATTAATCAGAGTCCTTTGCATTGAATTCCCCAAACTAAATCTTGTTAGAGTCTGTAAACAAGTCAAAATAACACCTGGCATTTTGCCAGGGGAATGTTAGAGTTCGTAAACAAGTCTGGATGGTGCCTGGCAAAATGCCAGAGGGAGTGGTTTGAGAAGTAACAAAAGCGAGCCATTAAGTGTGGAGATTCCTTATTGGTTGACTGATGTATCTAGTTTATGCTAATTAGATAAGCTGTGTGGAATGTATAAATACTGCTCCTGTCCTGCAATAAACGGCTCCTACTCCTGCTGTATCAAGGTACACAAGTTGTTCGTCCCCCCCCCCCTTATTCTGCTGCAGCCGGACTGCAGCAAAATCTGAGGGAGAGAAGCTGTTTTTCTTTCTCTTTGGTCAAGGACAGATAAGTCATCAATTTAGAAAGAACTTGTGTCTATAATAGCATAGAGCTCAGAGTACTCTGAGGCTGCATGAAGTCTTTATTTAGAATAGTTAGTGGCTTGTGCTTATAGAAGAGCTTATAAATGCAGGAAAACCCCTTTTATCTTGTTTTACTGGTATTCTCCCAGTATCTTCCTATTTGCTTCTAAATAATTTATTATCCCATAAATTGGTTTAATCCCTCTGTGGACCAGATATATATATATATATATATATATATATATATATATATATATATATATATATATATATGCCTCATTGCTTGAAATATCCCTAGTTTATCTGCACTCTACTTATAATTAATTCCTTTATTTCTTTAGTTTCCTTTTGATTCGTTTTGGCATCATCAGGATATTTTCAACAGCAGCTTCTCTCATTCTCAGAAGGATGTATGCTCCAGAAATAGGTTGCCTAAGTCTAAATCACAGGTATATCACTTCCTAACTGCACAACTTTGAGTAAGGTATTTAGCCTTGTTAAATCTTAGTTATTAATTCCTAACCCATGTAGTAGTTGTTGTAATTAAATGAAATCATGTATGTTAATTACCTAGAACATTATAAGTAGTCAGTAAAAAGTTAGTTATTCTTAATACTCATGAAAATTTTCTGAGACTTTTTTAATATTTAATTTTTTTAGTTACAGTTGGACACAATACCTTTGTTTTTATTTATTTATTTTTATGTGATGCTGAGTATTGAACCCAGAGCCTCGCATACGCTAGGCGAG